AGAACCTTTGCCTTTCCATACAGGGTCTGTTTGTGCACGTCTCCCATAACGTAATGTTAGGATTTAATTGGTGTTATCTTGCTTCTATACGCCATTTTATTTCACTTGTGGTCAGAAAGCAATCAATATGATTTCAGTCTCTCCAAGTTTGTGAAGAGTTGCTTTAGAACCCTGAGCCTAAAAAAATCCCAAAATATCATCTCTCTTGGAAAATGTTTCTTTTGTTCTTTAAAAAAAAAAAAAGACTAAAGTGATCAGCAGTCCTTAGGCAATGCTCTGTGTCAAGCAGGTCAAGTGGATTGACAGGGCTGTTCAAGAATTCTGTAAACTTAAAGATTTGATGACCACTCCACCAATTATTGAAGAAAAGTGTTGAAATCTGTGAGTCTGGATTTAACAATTTCTTCTTGAAGTTTTATGAGGTTTTCTTTCATTTACTATGACTATTGTCAGGTTCATTAAAATTATGATTTATATTCTTTTGATGAGTTGGCATCATAACATTGTAAAACGATCTTTCTTATCCCTTGTCCAAATGTCCTACTCTGAAATCTACTTGTCCAACGAACTCCATTTATACCTGATGTGACAGGCTTATACCCACTGTCTGCTGTGCTTTCTGTTGTGTGCAGCTGCTCTGTTGCTCTGTCTCCTCCTCTGTCTCCCTTTTAACTACTCTATATAGTCCTACTTCATCGTTTTATCGACCAGCTTGCTGTGCTGTTTATTTAGGGGTCCGGCATTTGCTTCTGTGTAGATAGAAACACTTGCATTTCCTGCAGTCAGCCTTCACGTCAGATTACATCACCCATGCACAGACATCCACAGCACCGCGTACACGCGGTTCCATCTCTGCATCCCAGGCCTGCTGATCTAGTTCCCTGCACTTTACTACAGTGTGCCGTAAGCCACCAGTGCAGCACTAGTGATTTGGCCTTAATCTGCCATTTTTTAAGCTCGTATCGGCAATGCCCAGCATTTTCCATTCCTCTGTAGGACTCTAGATCTCTATCTGTTCTCATTTTGCTTCTTCCTGGCCAATTAATTACATTTCTCTTTCGGCTTTTATATGTCTGAAAAAATCTTCATTATGTCATTATTCTTTACGGATATTGTTGTTTTAGGTGGCATTTCAGGTTGTTTCTGTTCTAGTACTTTAAAGATAAATGAGCCACTGTTGTCTAGGGGGAATAGAGTCCAACCACGGAGCTGTTGTCATGGTAACCGGACTCTGTTGTCACTACATGTTGGCTTTGCCTGCTTGTGAGATGTTTTTGTCATCGATTTTAAGTTTGTGGTGGCGTGTGATTTTCATCGTGTTGCCTTTCTTCAGGGTTCTTTGCATGCTAGGAGCTGGATGTCCAGCTTCTCCGTCAGGCTTGGGAAATGCTGATTCTAAATTTCACTGTCTTTTCTCCTTCCCCCTTGACATTGTCACACAGCTCACTCATGTTCTCTTGGCATATCCAGAATTTTCTCTGGGTTTCTTTTTGTCTATACTGCTTGCCTGTTTTGTTTTGTTTTTTTTTTTAATTTTTTATTGGATATTTTATTTATTTACATGTCAGATGTTATCCCCTTTCCCCATTTCTCCCTCCAGAAGCCCCTATCCCATCCCTTCCTCCTGCTTCTGTGAGGGTGTGCTCCCACCAGCTTGGTTCTGGGAGTCAAACTGAGGTCATTAAGCTTGGTGGCAGGCACCGCACCAGGCACGATGCTTGTATTTCTTAAGTTCTCCTTGCAGGCTTTGCCTCTGATGACTCTCTTGCATCCTTAGCTCTGTCTTAGTCGTTTTGGAGAGACATGGGCTTATCCCAGACTAGGAGGGGCTTTATGCAATTTAGAATGGATCTGATGCATGTACACACACACACACACACACACACACACAAGAGCTTTCCTGGTACCTGCTTAATAACTCTCTGCCCCTCTCTCTTCCCCTCCAACTTCACCGTCAGCTGATCTTCTTGGGCAAAGGTTAAAAGTTTTAGCAAGGCCTTCCATTTATCATCTGGCCATCCCTGTCCATTGAAGCCAGATGGAAACCCATCTGTCCTCTCAAAAGTAGGCTATTTGGAATAAATTCTCAAAGTATCCAGTAGGGGGAGCTGTGGGCGCCAGGCTTCTTAAGACAAGTCCTCAGCTGGCTTGTAAAGCCGCACCCGCCTCAGGCTGACACCAAACCCTCTCCTCCCCACAGAGACAGGTCTGTGTGCTCCTTCTCATTTATTATTTTTCCTTTTCTCAGTTATTTCCTGAGTGTCATTAACCATTTACCATACCAATCCTAAAGAAAGAAAATGTCAGAATATCCGCTTGGAGTTGAAGGAACTTGTGTTTACTGTCACCTAGCTTTCCAGCCCCAGGAACACCCAGCCAAGGGGAATCTCAGAGACATGGGTTGTGCTGAGGGAAGAAAGGCACATGGCCAGCAAAGCCCAATCTGGGACTCAAATGCAGAAGATTCCAACTGCCAGGCAGGCCCAGCCTTCTCAATCCCCTCATGCTGCTAGTTGCTGAACAGCCCAGACCACAATTTTTTTTCTTCCTTCCTCCCTCCCTTCCTTCCTTGCTTCCTTCTTTCAGTTTTTCTTTGGGGAGAGAGGCAATACTAATGCTACCAAAATGAGTTCCACTTGAGAACTTCTCATACCAATATCTCATTCTCAAAAGTGATTATCAAGGTAGCCATGACTATGATGACTTCTGGTCTCCTCACCTTGTAAATACCTCTGTCATCTGTGTGTTGATCCTGTGCCTATCTGGTTGCTTGATGAGGGTTCATCATGGTAGCATACAGAGCAGCAGACCTCTAGAGTATCTGCGCATCTTTGAAGACTGGCTTTGCCATAATTGTAGAAAGCAGATTCAAAATGTGCACGCTTTTAATGCCAGCACTCAGAAGGCAGAAGCAGCCGTCTAAAGTCCAAGGCCAGCCTGGTCTACATAGTGAGTTCCGGGACAGCCAGAGATACACAGTGAGACCCCGTCTTGGAAAACAAACTAACTAACTAACTAACAAAAAATGATGCAAATATTATCAGGTGCCACTTATGGTGGTGTCAGCCACTTATATTTTTAATAGGAAAAAACACCTGCACATTGGACAAGTCAAGTCTCAGCCCCCACTGTATCTGCAAATTGCCAGCCATCTCTTAAGGGACCAACTGAGAGAGCCCCCAGTGTCATTCAGAGAACAGCCTTCCTCTGTGCTTAGAAGTCACCTTATCTAAGAAATGCTTCTATGGTCTGAATAGTTATGCCCTGGCCTAGGAACCCACCTGGTTTTGTTGCTATAACAAAGCACCTGAGGCAGCCTAACTTTATAAAGAGAAGCTTATTTAGCTGGCAGATCTGGAGTTGAGGCATAGTGCTGGCAGGGGACTCTATTGTACCATGGCAGGAACTCAAGTGGGAAAGAGATCACACAGGGAGATAGGTGTGGGAAAACTGCTGATTAAGGTCAAAGTCTAACATTGACCAGATAACCTTTTGGGGCTCAGCATGTAATGGAGGCTCCCTTCATTAGCAGGGCTTCTCCTTCTCTGATCTTGTCTGGGGAATTTTAAGCCCTGACATACACCTCTACCTGAGAAATGTCACATAGCCTCAATTAGATTACAGGATCAATTTCCTTTCTCCTGATAAAACCTGTTCAGCTAGCACCTGAGATTCCTGAAATTCTTCCCCATGCTAATGAGGCATTTCAGTGCCCTAAGCCCTCACCCAATGACCTTTGGCCATCCTGGGTGTTCCCACCCTCAGTCCCCCCAAACTCTGTAAGTAAAGTTGATCTGCATCCTGATAGCTAGTCCCAGTGTGGTCATTCACCTATGTCCTCACAGGGCTTCCAAACCCCTGTCTCTGCTCCTTCTGCCCTCGTGGGCTATTTTGGTCCACAATCTACAAAAGCAGGGAAACCCACAGAAAGGAAGCCAGGGGCTAATGTCAGCCTTTTATAGCAAGTCTTAGAAGAATAACCCAGGATCTTAATCAGACATACCTCGAAGTTCCTTTTGAGGACAGATAGTGAAAACTTACCCAACTGATATTAAACCCATGTCAACATAGCTCAAGTGCACACACGCGCACGCGCGCGCGCACACACACAGACCCACACACACATATATGCATACACACATGCACACAGTGTAGACCAAACAACACATAACAGGAGAGGAAATTCATCCTCAGGGTAATCATACCTTTAACATTTGTTACTTGCTTCCATTTTAAATTCTGTCTGGTTGGGACATTGTCCCAACTGGATTCCTTGATAAATATCCCTCTGCCTCAGTATGTATACAATTATTGGTAGAATGTTTGTTGACTGACTGGAAAATCCTCTAGTGAAGATGGGGCGTAGCTCTAGTTCAACAGAAATCCAAAATGCACACTTGTTTGCAACCGGCTCTGGGTGAAATCTGACGTCCTTTGCTCACCTTACATCAGTACTAAAGAGATTGCTCAGTGGTTAAGAGCACTGGCTGATCTTTTGGAGGATATGGATTCGACTTTCAGCACCCACATTGTAGCTCACAACTGTCTATGGCTCCAGTTCCAGGGGATCTGACAGCCTTACACAGTCAGACATGGAGGCAAAACACCAATGCACATAAAACTAACAAAAATAAAATTATTAAAAAAGTATATCACGGAATGGGTCAAGTCACCAACCCACTCCACCTCATAAGCCCCACTCTTGCTGCCCCCAAGTTCAAATCCCAGTCCCCCTGAAGTCCCCCCACCTCTGTACGTGCTCTACCAAAAAGCTACCCCTCCTGACCTTAGTCTTTCAAGACAGGACCTTGCTATTAACTCATGATGGTCTTGAGCTCACTGGGTAGTCCAGGCTGGCCTCCAGCTTGTGATCAGACCACTAGGGCCTTTGATGGATTTTGTCTCTGGCAACTAACACACTAAGTAGCTGACTGTATCTTGTAGTATGCATTTGCTCAGTCTAGATGGATGGATTGATGTGGCCTGTTTGATTGTTCCAGAATGCCCAGGAGGAGCAAGGGCACCGTGTGGTGGCAAGGGCGTTTGTGCTGAGGGCATGGATGGAACGGGAAGATGCTCCTGCCAAGTAAGTTCAGAGAACTGCTCCACCCTGAAATGCCGCCCCTCCCTAACTGTTGATGTCCCTTCATTACAAGCTCACACAAGGAGAAGCCTCTAAGAGTACAGTGTTGAAAGATGAACTCTCGATGTTCAACAAAATCATCTCTCACTCTTCCACCCACCTGTAAAACCTGAAGAAAGAGCTACGGAATGACCCTCTTTGAAGACACAAAATGGGGTCACATATCTAAAGCTATCTTATGAATACGTATAAGGGTATAAGGTTGTCACTTCTTACTGTTGTTAGTAGTCATCTCCACCACTAGACTACCTTTAGGACTGTGCTCCCCACCCTGGGCCAACCAGGGGCATGTGGCCATTGAAGAAATTCTGTATCTAACAAAAGGGACTCTTGTCAATTTCAAACTGTAGAAGAATTAAACACAGGTCCTTCTGACAGGAATCAAGTTCAACTGCCTCCACAACAGAACTGGAAGTGGTTTTGTTTCATCCTTAGGTGAAACTGTGGTGTGGCTGTAGGCTGTTACTGTCTGTTTATATCCTTGGGTCGACAGACAGCTCTCCCCTATAGGGCTCTAGACCCTTAGCCAAAGAAAAATTTTAAAAAATATAGACTACCTCGGTGTTTCTGTGGGACCACTAACAGTGGGAGTGGGGGTGTCTCTGACTCTTTAGCCTGCTCTTGGGACCACAGAGGAGCAGTGGATCTGTGGGGTAGGGGAAGTTAGGGAGTGGGGACTGGAAGGAGTGGAAAAAGGAAAACTGGTCAAGATATATTTTTTAAAAATTAATTAAATAAGATATAAAACAAAATTAATGTGTTCAGTGGGCCTCAAAGAAATGCCCAGAGGAAAGACATATTTGAGAAGCAAGCACTGGCCAGATGGTCAGTGAGTTGCCCGGAGGCTTTCCAGGTAGCATAGGAGTCACCTGGGATGACTTTGGGTCTGATGTCACCGCCTGTGTTTTGCAGGCAGGCTTTCGTGGAACAGCCTGTGAAGCCTGTGCTGCTGAGAACGTTTTTGGGCCCAATTGTTCAGCAGGTGAGTCTGATTTTGGTTCACTTAAAGCCTTGGGAGGGTTTTAACTGCCCAGAGATGGTTACTTTGACTCTTAACAGCAGTTTTAGATTTCCAGCCTCTAGAAATGTATGGATTTGTGTTATTTTAAGACACTGGGTGTCTTTTAGCTTTTCATTGCTGTAACAAAGAACATGAAACCAGAGCTTTAGTGAGAGAGAAGGTTGGTGTGACTCAGTTTGGGGGCAGAAAGTGTGTATGCACCACATTTTATTTATCCATCCATGTGTTGGTGGATGGCTAGGATGGTTCCACTTCCTCGCTATAGAAAGCAGAGCTGCAGTAAACACAGATGTGCAAGTGTCTCTGTGGTAGGACATAGAGTCCTTTGGGACTATGCCTGGGAGTGGTATAGCTGAGCTATATGGTATATCTAGCAGGTGTTTTTGGGTTTTGGTTTTGTTTTTCAAGAAAAATCTATAAACACATATAGACATTCAGCCCCATAAGTTCTTTGCCATGTTCCATAATGCATTTCAGCTGCAGCAGAGGGAAGACGGCATCGTCATTCTGATCCACGGAGTTGTTTTGTCGTTGTTCCTGTTTTGTTTGTTTATTTGTTTTTACTTATTCACTTTACATCCTGCTCGCTGCCCTCCTGGTCACCCCTTCCCACAATCCTTTCCCCCCATGCCCACCTCCCCTTCTCCTCTGAGTGGTTGGGGACCCCCATGGTATCCCTCCACCCTGGCACATCAAGTCTCTGTGAGGCTAGACACTTCCTCTCCCACTGAGGCCAGACAAGGCAGCCCAGCTAGAAGCTCATATTCCACAGACAGACAACAGCTTCTGGGATAGCCTCAGCTCTAGTTGTTTAGGACCTACATGAAGACCAAGCTGCACATCTGCTACATATGTACGGGGGAAACCTAGGTCCATCTCATGTATGTTCTTTGTTTGGTGGTTCAGTCTCTAATAGCCCCAAGGGTCCAGGATAGTTGACTCTGTTTGACTTCCTATGGAGTTCCTATTCCCTTAGGGCCTCAACTCTTCTTCCTATTCTTCCAAGAGTCCCCAAGCTCCATCCACTGTTTGACTGTGAGTGTCTGCATCTGTTTGAGTCAGCTGCTGGGTGGAACCTCTCATAGGACAGCATGCTCCTGTGTGCAAACATAACAGAGTATCATTAATAGTGTGGTGGATTGGTGCTTGCCCATGGGCTGGGTCTCAAGTTGGCCGAGTTATTGATTGGTTATTCCCTCAGTCTCTGCTCCATCCCCCGTTCTTGCATTTCTTCTAGACAGGATAAATTTTGAGTCAAAAGTTTTGTGGATGGGTTGGTGTCCTTATTGCTCTGCTGGGGTTCCTGACAGGAGGTGGCCTCTTCAGGTTCCATTTCCCCAATTCTGTGAGTCACAGCTAATGTCACCCTCATTGATTCTTTGGAGCCTCTTCTATCCTAAGTCTCCGTCACACCCTGGAGATGCCTCCTGCCTCCTCACCCCCATCAATTGTAGATTTCCATTCATTTTCATGACCATTTAGTCATCTCTCCTGTCCTTTCCCACACCCGATGCTGAACCACCCCATCCCCCTCCCATTCCCTCTCCCAACTGCTTCTCTCCCTCCCTCTGCCTCCTAAGACTATTTTATTCCCCCTTCTAAGTGAGATTCAAGCATCCTCACTTGGGTCTCCCTTCTTGTTTGTTTAGCTTCTTTGGGTCTCTGAGGTGTAGCATGAGTATCCTGTATTTTAAGGCTAATATCCACTTATCAGTGAGTACATACTATGCATGTCCTTTTGGGGACTGGGTTTCCTCACTCAGGATAATATTCTCAGGTTCCATCCACGGGATTGTTGAAGACAAGAGTTCATTGTACTTTCTCTCTAGTAGCTTGTATAGTATTGACTGTCTGGGAAACACAGCTGCTGTTAGCCAGATGAACAAATGTGTGTGTGAATGAATGAATGAATGAATGACCCCAGAAACACTCTCCTGACCCAGAAGCACAGTTTCATGAGATAACAGATAAAAGGGTTAAAGCCAAGGTTTAGACCTGGCAGAGCTCTTGCTCCCGGGTTGCTAACTGCAACTCGATAAATGTGTAAAACATGTTCTCTGTGCATTTCTTACTTAAAACTCACTTTCTCTATGTAACCCCCTTAATCAACCCACATTCACATATTGTTGGTAACACCTACTATGCCTGTCAGGGTGCAAAAAGGTTTCCCACCCACAATCTCAAGTCCTAAGTATGCCTCTTTGAGCTAATATCAGGAGCTAACACAAGCCTGTATGACTATTACAGAGGCAGGGGGTTTAACCGAGGTGTCTGACTCCTGGTGAGCATGCACCATGCATTAGACACTAAACAGGCGATGAGCTTCTCTGAGTGATTGATGAGGTCACTGTCCCCAAGGAGCCTGAAATATGAATAAATATTGTGCTGTGCTGTGCATGGCCTTTATAGGATTCTATAAGGACACAGGAGAGAGAGAAGCTCTGGGCATGTCACACAGGGGCCATGCATCATCTCTGTGACTGAAATGTCCAAAGTTTTTGCTACTTTAAAAGTCACACTACCCAAGTTTCACATTTCTCTAGAGGTTTTCACATTGCACCAAGGGCTTTAGGTGGCCAGCTGGGACTCCCGTGGCCCCTTGCTTCTCCTTCCCCAGGACACATTCTTGGCAGTGGCTGGCAGTCCTGCAATGCAAGCTTCAGAGGCTGCCTGTGCCTGGCAGTGCAGAATGATGGCACACAGCAGGAGGCTGATGCCAGAGCTGTTGGGGCTCACAGCACACAGCCAGCCTGGAGAGCAATCTTAACAAGTACAGCTGTGGCTAGCATGTGGGACCATTTAGTCTTCCCCTTAGACCCCCACCCCATGTTCTCACCATCTTCCATTGGCTACAAGGAAGTACAGAACACTAGCCATCACCTTGTCCCAAGGGTCTGGCTTCTCTGCTTCTCTGTGACCTCCTTAAAATGAGATATCACTAGTCACCTGTGTTCGCATGCCTCGTGCCTAATGCTGGGCAGAAACTAGGTGCATATTGTTTAATTGAATTGACTGGCATCTATTCTATTAAATTCTCCTGTTCTTTGAGCAAGCAATGACTAGTTAGCAATTACTAGTTAGCAATGACTAGTTAGCTCCTATTTTCCCATTGGTACAGTGAAACTAATAATGTGACCTGTCTCATGTCACATTAAACCTAAAACTGCCTGAGAGAACAAGTGACCAGTAAAGGCAAGCACAGGTCCAGCCTTGGGCAAGGAGAGAAAGGGACATACCTCAGAGGCAGAATTTCACAAGAAAAGAAATGACTCAATCAAGGTAAGTCATCATATGAGCTTTTCAGGGCCGATGTAACAAGGCAGCTCAAACTGGGCAACTTTTCTGAAAGCTGAAAGTTCAGAGTCAAGGTGTTGGCAGAGTTTACCTTTTAGCATTTCTCTCCATCCCTGCTGGAGCCCAAAGGAGCAAAGAGTCTGCTTTGGGACTCCTGGGATGGCACCATAGAAGTGAGCTGTCCTTGAAGGATGTGGAGGACCTCACCTGCCACACCAAAGGGATGCAGAGAAGCCAATGGTGTCTGAGGACACACAGGTGCATGAGCGCAGGACTCATAGGTGCATGAGTGCAGGACACACAGGTGCATGATACAGGACACACAGGTGCATGATGCAGGACACATAGGTGCATGACCACAGGACACACAGGTGCATGAGCGCAGGACACACAGGTGCATGAGCGCAGGACACACAGGTGCATAATGCAGGACACACAAGTGCATGAGCGCAGGACACACAGGTGCATGAGCGCAGGACACTGGGTACATGAGGATGCACAGGGTGCATGTGTGAAGGATGAGGGGTGAGTAAGTACAGAATGAACCTGCTCCTTCCCCCTGGAGTGGTCTTCATGAAGCCTGTGCCCACCCTTGGCAGTTTCCTTCTACCATTGCTCCATGAGCTCTTTGAGGTTAGAAACTTGACTACTACGATATTTTGAGCATAGCAACTTACTGGCTACATTACAAAGATGGAAGGGAACAAACAGGAGTCACCCTATACACTTAGAAATCAAATGTGTAAAATACAAGAGTGGATGGGCTGGCAACAAACTGGAGACAGTGCCCCAGGACACTGCAGCAACAGTCTAGACAAAGCCTGGACAGGACCTGAACTGGGATAGGGTCAAGGAGGCACTGAACGGGATGTCCACCAAGGAGCTGCACACGAAGAAGACTGTTTGATGCAATTTTATGTGTTTAGAAAACATTAAACTTAATAACTCATGAGTTTCTAATATTTTTTGTTAAACAAGTACCTCTTAATAGTAGGGACTCATCTGAGCTTATATGAAATGTACCCACATGCACCAAACATAAGGTAAGCAGAACAATAAGCCCCACCCCCTTCCTCCAAAGACCCATGTCCTAATCCTGGAACCTTTGAGCATGTTATATTACATGAAAGAGGGGAATAAGGCTGTGGGCAAAATTAGGGCTGCTGACCAGTTGGTTTGACATAAAGAGATTGCTCTGATTGCCAAGGTGGGTCCAGTGTGGGTGGAGCAGGTAACCATAGAGACAGCAGCATGAGAAGAACTTGGTACTTCACAGGAAAGTGGAGAAAAGGGTCATGAATCTAGAAACATGGGATTCTTCTAGAACAGCTTTACTGCAACTTTGATTTTAATCTAATGGGGCATTTTGTCCTCCAGCACCATGGAATGCATTTGGACCATGTCTGGCTCTTTTTCAGGATGGTTTGTTACAGCGGCAACCAAAACCTCATACGCTGTGCTTTTTGGGAGTCTTGGCTTCAGTATGCTGCTGGCTGGCTGGCTAGTGAACTGTGTGACAGATAAGCCACCAGCTGGGTGTGGAAGCATTGACCATTTATATGAAAGGCCCTTCATTTGTCATCCATGACCTGTCACTGGGCTGAGAAGCCATCTATTTTGAGCAGAAACTAGGGCATAGTCTTTCTGAGCCCTGTTGTGTTATATTTCAAATCTTTGCACTGCCTTCAACATACAAGACAATTTCCTTACAGAGATATCAACCACCAACGGGGACAGAGTTGGGGACGGGGGAGAGCTCTTCTCGTCATACAAAGACACTAAGTCAGTTCTGCTGTCAGGCTACCCAAAGGCATAGCAAACAGCTCAGTAGAAAACAGAACCCCAGTGCCCATGATAACGCCAAGCAAGCTCTAGATGCATTTCCTTACTTAATGCTCAGTGAGCTTAGGAACCCTTGGTTACCTTACACACTGAAAATCCTAACTCAGATAGGATCCCTGGGAGTTCCCTCCGCCAGAGAGAGAGAGAGAGAGAGAGAGAGAGAGAGAGAGAGAGAGAGAGAGAGAGAGACTCAGAAGGGCTGTCTGAGACTGTTACCCTTCCAGGATCTTTAGGAGCATCCCTATCAGATGATGACTAACCCTCATTTTCTGCCGACAGTGTGCAATTGTGTCCACGGTGTATGCAACAGCGGAATGAATGGTGACGGGACTTGTGAGTGCTTGTCTGCATACAGGGGACCCAGGTGTGACAAGCGTAAGTGACTGTGTTTCTTCACTGCTATACCAGACCAAAGAGATGTTGCTGGGATGTGTTTTTCTTTCCTGTTTGTTACTGGGGCTCCACTGGGGGTGATGGACTGTCAAATGTTTTGTAAGAGGGAGACAAAAACTAGGCAAAGATTGTAAGAAGATCTAAAGAGAAGAGAAAGTGGGGAGGAGTGAAGCAGTGGGTAGTAAACAAGAGCTGTGCCATAGGGAGACTGAGCAGGAGGCAGCCTGAAGGGCAGGGTGTGATGGGAAGTATTCAGGCCGGGAGCCTGAGAAGGGCCTTAAAGGAGACAAAGTATCAGTTATAAAAACTCATTAACAAAGCCGGGCAGTGGTGGCGCACGCCTTTAATCCCAGCACTTGGGAGGCAGAGGCAGGCGGATTTCTGAGTTCGAGGCCAGCCTGGTCTACAGAGTGATTTCCAGGACAGCCAGGGCTACACAGAGAAACCCTGTCTCAAAAAACCAAAAAAAAAAAAAAAAAAAACTCATTAACAAATACAGACAGCAGAGTTTCTAAAGCCATGTGGCTTACTCAAGGGCCCAGAAATGACAAATAGAAGTGAGGGCCAAAGCATTGGTATCTCTGGGAAATTATTTACAGTGTACGACACTAGGTCAGGTTAGAAGATGAAGAGCAGGCATGAGTGAAATGAGGAGAGCTGACCATAAAAGATGAGGACAGTGCACTCGGGCTGCACTGCTGGGCCAGACCTCCCACTGAGCCCTGTGGACAGCGGCAACTGCAAAAGCAACCCCACTGAGCGCTCTCCCCGCAGCCCACAGCTGCTCCTGCCTGCTACACTGTAGTGCTAGCGCCCTCTATTGGCAAACCTTAATTCTTTCTAGAAAAGAGAAACACCCCTTCAGTCAGTCTTAACTCAGCCAATGGCAAAGCAGTTCCCACAGAGTAAATTAGAAGCTGAGATGGTATTTAAAATAATCAAAATGGTCATATTTAGCCCATGACACTAAGCTCACTTAACCAATCCTCTGTATTAAAGTCTCCGATGGAATAAAAAAAATTAGAACGGTTTAGATTCCACCTAGGACAGACTCATTGTATTGGGAGCCCAAGGTGTGTATGTACTGTGGCAAGTACATAGACCAGCCAGCCTCTGTTTTCTCTGCAGAGGACACAGCCCTGAAAACCACCAGCTCACACTACCCCAGGTGGTTGGGCGTCCTCCCTGTGGTCTCAGCTAGCTTCCGTCCACCCTAAGTCACCTATCACTGCCCAGTAGACCTGTGAACAGACCTCCTCAGTAAGACAGGAATCCGGTCCAAAAAGCTTCCCACGGAAGGACTGTCAAATTTGCTTCCAAGTGAAACAAAGACTGGGACCCCCCCAAAAATGCAATTCTCGTGGCAGGTGCACTTTTATTATTAATGTCAGAGCTATTTCTAAAAAATAGACTTAGGAGTAGCTAATGCCCAGAATCAGACATGACACACAGCAATAACCACAAAGCAAGAATCCACAAGTAACTGCGCTAACACGCACAAAGCCAGGCGGAAGTCAGGTGGCAGCTCTGGAAGGTGCTTTTGTTTGGTTTTGATTTCTCACCCATTCTATTCCTCCACTTGCAAATGGATTATGACTATCACAAATAGGGATGACAGTAAAGGTGTGGATTCCTACCAACTAGGGGGGAGGCACCTACTACACTGTAATACAGGCTTATGGGGTGGTGCTGTGGCCCCACTTCTAGGAATTCACCCTGAAAAGGGAGAGGGCTGAGAAGGGTTAGGTAAGAACTTATAGACCAATAAATCCATGGCATAGCATTTCCAAGCAAAAACAAGCTGGAAATAACTTGAATGTTGAACTTGGATAAATAAATTTTGGTAGATCCTAAACTGGTTAAGTTAATGCCAACTTCTATATGAAATAAATATAAACCTCAATGATTTAACATTATGGTTCTCAAGCCATAAAGCAGGGTACCATATCAAAGCCATGAGCTGCTACTTTTGGATTATTTATATTGTTGGGAGAAACACGGAGACTGGAAAGATACATCTGTCCAATGCCATAAAACCTGCTATCCTGCCGGGCAATGGTGGCGCACGCCTTTAGTCCCAGCACTTGGGAGGCAGAGGCAGGCAGATTTCTGAGTTCGAGAGTTTGAGGCTAGCCTGGTCTACAGAGTGAGTTCCAGGACATCCAGGGCTACACAGAGAAACCCTGTCTCGAAAAAGAAAACAAACCTGCTATCCTGGTCAGTTTATAATTTCATAATTTCATAATTTCATATGAGGTCGGGCTACATTTTTTCCATGACACAGTATCTTTGCATAGCTGCCCTTTTAGTGGACGTTGTGGTTAAAAGTAAGTTCCAGGGCTGCGGAGAGGACTCAGCATCTCAGAGTACTTGTTGTATCAGCACAAAGACCTGATCAAATACCCTGAACCCGGTGTGGCTTGTGCATATAGAACCCCAGCACTGTAGGACCCAAAGACAGGAGGATAGCAGGGGCTTACTGGCCACAAGCCTAGCTCCGGGTTCAGTGAGAGACCTAAGACTTCATAGCAAGTTTAAAGCCAGCCTGAGTTGGTGCCACAAGATCCTTTCTCAAAATCAAAACAAAACCCAATTACAATTAATTTTTATTTTATATGTGCTATATTTCAATAATTATTTCTACAAACCTTAAAACTTTTTAATAAAAGACTTTCATAACCAGTCATCCTACTAATGGGAGAACTTCAATAAACTTCTTGTGCAGCCATCCCCGAGTGTGCAACCTTGCTCTGCCCAGAAAACTCCAGATGCTCACCTTCCAGCAAAGATGAAACAAAACTCCAATGCAAATGCCTTCCCAGTTACGAAGGGGATGGCCAGAACTGCAAGCGTGAGTGGAGCCCCACCCTGTTTGTGTTTCTGTGTGATATACAAAATTCTGTAGTCGGAAGTTTAGTCTTGGAAGCATGCAGACCCCCTTCTGTTATCAAGCGCACGTAGAGATGACATCAGCACAGTATGCACAACTACAATTTCTGGCGTTCATTTGTGAATCAGTTCAAAGGAACAGGGTGGTCAGATGGAATGAAAGCGTGTTTCTGAACACTACGCACCGAACTGCCCTTGTGTCTGTGATGCATGTGAGCCACAGTTCTCTGGTGATGCCTCTCTCTCTCTCTCTCTCTCTCTCTCTCTCTCTCTCTCTCTCTCTC